TTGTTGCGTCACAGCAGCTGAAGTGCAACAGTCAAAATGAAACAGTGCAAACCAGCATTTCAGTATTTTCCAAAACAAACTATTTCAGAGGCTCTATCACTATGCTAAATGTCAAAGTTTTCACTCTTTGTTCTGAATTGGGACAAAGGAAATGCTGAACTGTCAGGATTTTTCATGAAGTGGAAAGACTGAGCAGCTCCTGAGCCTCACAGGCCATCCGTGGGTGCAGGTGAGGTGCCATGGCCCCCAACCCCTGGCCAGCAGCAACCGCAGATGGCTGCCTGTCACCAGGAGCAGGGACAGCCTGAGGTGAGTTGGCAGGGCAGGGGACAGCATCACCTGCTCAGGGAGAAGAGTCCTTAGCAGCCTTTAATGGATGCCTCATGTTACCCCTGCTGCCCTCCTGCCTCTCTGAAGGGGAACAGCACCCCCATCCTGCAGACAGTGTGCCCTGGCAAGGGCTCCAGGTGTTGGGGCTGGGGGCACAGGCAATGCGAGGGCAGTGTGAAGGCTGTGGGAGGTCCACACACCAGCAGCCCTGCATCTACACCAAGGATGATGCCAGTGTAGCTCAGGGTGCCACAGCCCAAGGGCAGCCCTGAGGCCAGGGCTCTGCCCCTCAGCAGGGCCATGCTGGTGGTGGCACACCTCTGCCGTGGTTGTTTTTCAGTCACCGAGGGCGGCACACCCTGCTTCCTGCACAGGCAGCTGTGGTGCTTCCTGCACCCACAGCTATAATTAGAAGGGCATTTGGTGTCCAGTGGTGCAGAGCCTTCCCCTGGGGTCACGGCAACCTCGGGGGGGCTTGCTGGATAATGTTGTGCTGGGCACCTGTCCTCCCACCATGCTGCCAGCCAAGAGGTGCAGAGGTGGTGTTTGGGCAGCATCCTCTGCTCAACGCCCCATCTGGGGGGCTGCTACCATGGGGCCATCCCTGTCCATGTGGAAGAGCAGCAGCAGGCAACAGGGATGAGTCTGCCCAGGCAGAGCTGGCACACTGGGAGCTGGAGAAATCCCATCAGCTTCCCATCCGGCATTTTGTGCCTTCAAAGATGCAGGCAGCTCTCTCTAATTAACTTTTTTCCCATCCTGCCAGGCAAGGAGGTGATTTTATCTTCATAGAGCTGGTGGAAGAAGCAGAGTCTAAAAAACTCGCATGAGGCCCCCAGCAGGGTTAGTACCTTCTCAGGGCGCAGCCTGGGCCAGGCAGCCCTGCTTCAGAGGTTCTCCAGCATGGTGCTCTTTCTGAAGGGGACCAAGACCTTCACCAAAAGATGGGGAAGCTTGCAGAACAAGCTCCCTCTTTTCCTGCAGTGCCAGTCCAATTCTGAGTACAGCTGGAAAGAAAGGGGTTCAAGCAGCTGCAATGGTGCACAGAGCATAATTGTCTTGGTGTTCTTGCAGGGGTGCTTTAGGGGGGGTTTCTTAATGGGTCTGCTTGTCAGGCTGAGGCTGGCAGTACCACTGAATCAAGCATTGTGAACCTAAATGAATAATGAATAGCCATCACATGAATATTTTAGAGACACAGTCCTGAGATCTCCCAGTGCTACCTTAAAGGAAAATGGAGGAAAAGTTGTCCAGAAAAAATGATGTTTCCTTTAGGCAAAAATGCACTGTTATCTTTGCTTTTGAAAAAGAGCTGCTGCTGCTAAATAATTCTCAGGATTTGCATCAAAAACTGGAGCAGTGGCTTGGCTCAGAGGCAGAAGTTGGGAGGGAAGCCCGAGTCAATGATTACAGTGTGCTGGAAGGACAGCAGATTTTACTTTGTCTATGCAATGATTTTGTGAGAAGTCCCAAAGCTATGGCCACCCTCCAAAGAGGCAGCAGTGCTGGGCATGGTTAGTGCATTTCAAAGGAGTGATGAGAGGTTTGGTGATGCACAGGAGTGCTTGCTCTCCCAAGACAACATTTCACTCCAGCCTGAGCACCTCTGTCAAAGAGCTGAGTTGTATAAACAAGGTCCAGCAGCAAAAATTGTGTTCATTTTGCATGCCATGGTAGCCACTGCATCATATGGGAATGGGCTGCAAATCAACAGGTTTATCAGACCACAGCAGCATGCCTCCACTCTCCCCTTGACTGGCTGCACTTTTGGCATGCACGCTCTGGTGCCAGGCTGCCTCTGTGCAGCTCTTGTGACAGCATCTGTACTTTAGTGGCCCTTTTCACTGTGTGTGAATAATCCATGCACAAATGACTTCTAGGAGCAGCAGGTTGTCGTGTTCAGGTAAGACCAGCAGCAGCCCATCTCGCTCAGGTAGGCACAGCAGAGTAATGGCAGACGGATTAGAAACATGGCAATTGCAAATAAGCAATTACTACTCTAGCCAAGTCCCTGATGTCTCTGTCACTTAGATCACCAATCTGTATTTCCTTCAGCACTGCTCTACTCAAAGCAATCCTTGCTGTGCTGCTGGCATCAGCAGACACAAATAATTCCTCGGTGTTTATGAAGTGCCCAGAAATGTATCTGTTGAATGAGGGCAATTTGGGCATTTCTTCAGCAGCTCCCACAAAGGTGGTAGAAAATACCTGCAGTGACTGTCCCTGAAACACTTCAGTCTGGAAATGGGGAATGGTGTGGAAAAAAAGGGCAAAGTGTGGGAAAAACATGCCAATCAAAATACACAGGTCTTTGTTCTTCAGGCTACCCTCAAACCTCACTGCCTCCAGGATGCACTGAGGGTTGCAGGTGGTGGGGCAAGCCTGAGCCTCCATTTCCCACTGCAACAGCACTTCTGCCTGTCTCCGAGGGTCTGTTTCCAGTTCAGCCATCGCGGACCATCCCTGTGTCCCAGGGAGGTCCATCCAGAACTCCATACTGGTGGAGTTACCAGCCAAGGGCCCTGGTGATGCCGAGGCCGTGCTACTGGGGCTTTGCCAATGGGATCATAGGAGCATTTTGCCCATGGTTGGGCAGCCTGGGAGCGGCACTGCACATGCCTCAGCTGTGGGGTTAGAAGTGCTGCCAGACCCAAGGCGTGGGGAACGGCCAGGCTGGCTGGCTGCTCTGGCTGATGATTATGCATTGTAGAGGCAAGGTAACTTTTAACTAAAGTACAAAAGAAAGACAATAATGAGCACTTTTATTACTGCCTCAGTGGCCACATAAAGACTTGAGATGGTTTTATTAAAGATGATGTGCTTAGAAATGAGTTTACTAAATCTCTGCATGCTATCTGCAGCCCACCAGCCTTCCACTGAAGTACCTCGCCTAAATGAAAAGGAGACTGCTGAGTCCCCTTTCATCTCTCTTATTTGCCTTAGGAAGCAAAGGAGGGGCCAGACCAGGTGGGTGATGGTGGCAGAGCCTGGGATAAGCATGGCAAAGGTTCAGACGCACTTGGGAAATTTATGCCACACAGTTGCTGGCTTTGAAAAGTAGAATAAAGGAAAAACTGTATCTTCCTAATGGGTATCATGGGGAGGCATCATGTAATGCAAAGCAAGAGAAAAGACCACTCCTTCCTGTGGGGTTGTACATGGTGCCATGCTGCTGGTGGCCAGCTCCTTAAGTTAAACTTTGCTTGCCTGTGTTTTCCAGGGATTAGCCAGGTTTTTCTCCAGTTACAGCTAATACATGTTACAGACTTATGCTCAAAACTGTCTGGCCTTAACCCAACAACCATAAAGGAGAAATGGTTCATAAATCAGTTCAGTAAGTAAGTACAGGTTGAGTTGTTTATTAATTTAACCTCCTCTCCTGTCTTGACCCAGACTGGCCACAATGGCTGCTGCTGAAACCTGTTCAATGGTTCCCTGGCTGGTTAGGTAATGTTCTCTGTCTGGTAAAGATGCCCGGACTCTGGCTAGATTTTGGCAGCAACCTAGTAGCACCCCTGCTGCATCCAGGTTCCCTCTTTGTCACTGTCAGTCCTCACATACACTTGTTTGCTCTACTGGGATGACAGAGATGGGGAGACTACACTGGGCTGGGTGTGTTACAGGGCGAAGGTGGTTTTCCTCAGAGGGACACACAACCCCCTGCCCCCATGGCTGGCTGCTGGGCAGGGTTTCGCACTCCTTGCTGCTGGAGTGGTTTGCTTCCCAGAGGAACCTGCAAGTGAAACCAGCCCCACTGCCGGCGGCACTGCCGAGGGCTGGGCTGGGGCTGGCAACCCTGCACATCCCCTGATTGCCAGGGCCTCCTGCTGCTGCACCGACCTTGGGGTGGGGGTCAGCCGTGCCCCTGGGTTTATTAGTGGTGGGGCTGGTGGCTGCAATGGGAGAGGGTTAGAGCTTGACCTGGGAAGAGGAGGGCTGGAGAAATGTGTGTCTGTGCTGAGTGCCACAGGGAGAGAGGCAGGGAGGGAAGGATGGAAAGATGGGTGGACAGATGGTAGATCACACAGAATCACAGAATCAATTAGGTTGGAAAAGACCTCCAATACCATTGAGTCCAACCTATGACCTAACACCACCATGATAACTAGTACTCCATCTAGCCTTTCCTTAAACACCTCTCGGGGCGGTGACTCCACCACCTCCCTGGGCAGTCCATTCCAATGTCCAATCACTTTCTCTGTGAAGAAAATTCTTCCTGATGTCCAACCTAAACCTCCCTTGGCGCGGCTTAAGACTATGTCCTCTCATCCCGGACTGGATGGATGGAAGGGCAGTGGGGGCAGCAGTGGATGTGCGCCGGGTGGGTGGGCACTGGGCACACGGAGCGATGGCGTGGCCGGCCGGGCACGGGGATGCGGTGCAGGAGCGGTACCGCCGCTCGGCGGCAGACGCGGGTAGAGCGACCCCGCCAGCCCGGCGCGGCGGCGGAAGGGGCGGTGAAAGGGAGTGGCTCACCCGCCCCTTCCGGCGGCGGCGGTGGCGGCGGCACATGGGCAAGAAGCGGGGGACGGGGCTCGGGCGCTGCCTGCAGCGGCAGCGCGGGCTGGAGCGCCGTGGAGCTTCCTCCTCATGGGTGCGGCAGAGGGGGCTGAGGGAGCGGGAGGGAGGCCGGGGCGGCTCGGGCTGACGGCGCTGTCTTGTCCCGGCAGCTCCACGCCAGCGAGGTGGCCGCCGAGCGCGGCCCGGAGCTGCGGTCGGCGCCCGAGCAGAGCCCGCTGGAGGAGTTCCTGGCCACAGCCGAGCTCGCCGGCACCCGCTTCGTGGCCGGTGAGGGACTGGGACGGGACCGGGGCTGGGGAGGGTAGATCCAGGGGCTGGGGAGGGAGATCCCGGGGCTGGGGAGGGAGATCCCGGGGCTGGGGAGGGAGATCCCGGGGCTGGGGACGCAGGTGGAGGGCCGGGACCGATTTTGGAATGGGGGAGTGGGAGTAGTAGTAGGTGTGGTCTGATCTGATCTGATCTGTAGGGCTGACAATGAGTTTGGCCGGGCGGGGAACTGGGGAACAGAAGATGGGGTCCTGAACCAGGGCTGGGGGGCAGCAGGGACAGGATGGGGTGACAGGGGTCAGTACGGCTGGGGACGGGTGGCTTTGGATGACCATCTCTCCCTCCGTCAGAGCGTCTGAATGCCCAGATCGTGTCTGCCCAGAGTTGCACGGGCCTGCTCACGGACCAGGAGGCTCAGCGCATCCGGCAGCTGCACCAGGAGAACCAGGAGTTCCTGCGCATCCCACGGAGGTGAGTCCTGCAGGGCTGGGCCTGGATGCCCCTCGGCTGAGTGGGGTCAGCCCCTTGGTGGCTCAAGCCCGAGGACAGTCATCAGCTTTGTCAGTACCCTGTTCTTGGGGAAGCCACTAACTAGCCTGCATGAACCTAGTAACAACATGTAACCACAGCACAGGTGCCAGCCTGCCATGTGAGTGCTCTCAGTGTGAGCTCACCTGGCCTGATTGTGGAGGTTTCCTGCTCAAAGTTTGGCAGTCCTGGAGCTGGTGCATCCAGGCTGCCTGGTAAGCCTTTCCAGAGCTCTGTGCATGGCAAACAGGGAGATTATTCCTCTGTCTTTAAGACCCTCCAAATCTTAGCTTGAGAAAGGAGCTTTGTGTGATCTGGTGTACATACTCTCAGCTAAGGGAGTTTGGAAGGAACAAGGAAAGAAGGTGTACTTAAAGCTGCTGAAAACAAGTGCACTAATGTCTGAACTATAACCATCCTGGCATAGCTGAATGTATGGAGTTTGTGTTCTTTATGTTTACTGCAGTAATGTAGCTGGTCTGAATGCTGTTTCTGACCACTCACTCCAAAATATGCTTGTTACAGGCCATGCTGGGATAGAACAACCAGTGCAGAGGACTTGAAGCAAGCAGAGAGGGAGAGCTTCCTCGAGTGGAGGCGACAGCTTGCCCAGTGAGTATGCTTCTTGTGTCTGAATAAGTAGCTAGTGGCATTTAGAGACACAAGCAGGGGTTTGTATTTATTCTTGCTGGACCAATAAAATTACCGTCTCCCAAGTAGCTCTCTGTACTTGTCCTGGAAGGCTGAACATCTCAGCCACAGTCTTTGTGGTGAGCTCTGCAAAGCTGTCTTGTGTGTGCATTCTTTTGAAATTCTTCAGGACGGTATGTGATGTTCTGCATTTGCCTGTGAAGTAGAGGAGTACTGGATGTGTTTTTTAAGAGCAGCAGTGCTGCTCTGAATGGTAGGCAGTGCTGCCAGCCTGTGTACAGCAGTTTGTGCTGGTCTGGTGCTGCATCTGCTGGCTTGGAGAGTTGTGTGGTACCTGCTCATGCTCGGCAAACCCATGCTTGCCTTGAGTAAAGTTGTTCAGATGGTGGTAACATCAAGTTTGAGGTTGTATAGAGCCATTTCAGATACCATCCCAAATTTGTTACCTTTTCCAAGTGGTACTCAATGGAGTAGTAACAACTGGCACTTGGGATAACTTCCCTCATTTATTATTGCCTCTCTGAAATTTCATGGACAGACTTTTCATGAGTTTTTGTTCTTTCCATCCTTTACCACTTCTACATTGGCATGATCAGGAGCTGTTGTTGACAGCAGTTTACCTGGTGCTTGATCTGTTTGCAAAACCTGCAGAAATAGTACCTATGTATGAGTCTTGTTTGAGAGCTTTCTCTGAAACTAAAGCCTCCAGATCTAAGTTAAAACTGGTAGTGTGCTTACTGCCTGACATGGACCAAATGTGACATCTTTTTTTTGTTTGTTTGTTTTGCCTTAGCCTTGAGGAAGAGAAAAAGTTAATTCTAACCCCATTTGAACGAAACTTGGAATTTTGGCGTCAGCTTTGGAGAGTCATTGAAAGAAGGTAAAGTATTTCGCTATTGACTTTTCAAAAAGTAGTATTTAATGAATTGAAGCTTTTGAGTCAGGCTTCAAGTGTCTGAGCACAGGAAAAACAATTAAGTTAGTAATGTTTTATTATCAGCACTTGAAGTGACTTTGTTTTGAAGTGATCAAAATGTGGTGTGAAGAATGGCAGGTCCTTATGATGCCTGCTGGTTTTCAGCACTGTGATCTGCAGTCGTTTGCTCCAAGTCTCTGAAGATTCTTCAGATGCTGCTGCTCTTCCAGTAACTCGTTGTGGGAGGTCTCTTTTGAGAACCGGTCTTTGTCTCTTACGGAGATTAACCCCTTCCCCTTCTTCCCAGTCACACAGCTGCAGCTGTTCAGGGGCAGGAGGCAAGGGAGATGAATTAATGTTGGGGAAAAAAGGAATCTCTTGGTCCTTGGCCCTTCGCCACGCAGAGAAGTTGCAGCAGTGCACAAAAGGCAACAGGCTGTCATATCACAGGAATAGCTTTGTTTGCTCTGCTGAGCTGTAATACAATAAGAGTGCTATCTGCTACGTTAATCTAACCAGGGCATTTAATTTCACTAGTAATTAAGTTTGAGATCATCTCGTCTGATTTTCCTAAAATTGAAAAATACTTCACCAGTGAGGTCATGATGAGCTGGTCCTTTCACAGAAGGGGCTTTGTACTGGGTGCTGCTGGGCCTTTGGCCGGGAGAATGCTGGTTGGGAGCATCCACTGTAGGGGATCATGACAGGAAGTGTGAGTGTACTGGATGTTCTGAGGTGGCTGGAATGTGTTACTAATGCCTTTCTCCTCTTGTTGAAGCTTTTTATTTCATGTAGTGTGAGGATGCTGTCTTGGAAAGGAATGGAAAAGTCATTCAGTCCCTTATCTTGCCAGATAATTTGATCTGTTGTCAGCCTTTTCATGTGTTTGCTTCAAACTAGTTCCCAGCAGTGTGATTCAGTAATTTCTCTGTATCCCACCCCAGTACCATGGTGTCAGCTTTCTCTCATATTGATCTCTGAATTTCTTTAACTATGCAGTACCTCTTTGTACCTATGTGGCTTATTAAATTACTCCCTTGGGGGGGTTATTGATTTGGGTTTTTTTGTATGTAACCAACTGCCTAGTGAGGCTGGAAATTCTTCCATTCAACCCTTCGTGTTCTGAAGCTGTCCTGAGATAACAAAAATCCCTGTCAAACAAATAGAATCAGCATGTGGTAATCAGTGTTTTAAACTACCTGCCTGCAGAAGCTCTAGTAGAAGAGACTGTAGTTAAATTTTCCCTGTCCTTCTGAGAAAAGAAGCATGAATGCCTTTGGGATCTGAAGCTATTGCATATAATTGATGTGTAGAACTGATGAGTCTTGCTCAAATATGTGGTGGCAACCTGGTGTCTGGGTTTGGAAGCTGTTTGCTAAAAGCAGGTTGTAAGGCCTTCCTTTCATGGGGGAGCACCATGTCTTGTTGGAGTTTAGGGCTATTTTTTCACTGTTTTATGCTTTTTAGGACAGGAAGACCACAAAGAAATTCTGAAAATGCCTGATATCAAACACTTAAAATCTGCAGGTTGTTTGTGGGAGACTTTATAGATCTTGTTACATGCAAAGGGGACAACCATGTTCCAGAATATCTCTCTGTGTAGGGAAACCCCCTCTTCTTTCTTTTGGTAACTGCCCCACTATAGCTGGGGATGAGAATAGACAGAAATGAAGTTGTGTTATCATAGTTTTTAGTACCATTCTAAAGCACAGAATGCCACTGCTCTGGTTCTCGCCTGCTGAGTGTTTCTGGAGGGTAAATGGATTGGCAAAACTGGCGTGTTTTCCTTCCCACTTGCCAGCTGCCGGGGAATGAGCTAAGTGAGGAGAAAATACTGTACAGCAGTACTGGCTTATAGCACAAGCCTGGCTCAGTTCGGTAGGTGGGCTGCTGAGATGCTTTGTTATTCAGTAAAGGTACTTAGTAAGATAATACAGTAAAAACTATTAAAATTCAAGCAAAACCTAAAAGTGAATAATTGCTGTGCCCTGCTACTTCCTTTAAGGCAAGGTAAGGAGGGATATTTATGGGGTTTTCTTTTGCTTTTGCAGTGATATTGTAGTCCAGATAGTAGATGCTAGAAACCCCCTTCTGTTTAGATGTCAAGATCTGGTAAGTAAATCACTTTTTTGAATAAAGTTTTATATTGTAAGGTTTACATAATGTATTTTTTGTTTAACACATTCAGCCACCTTGAAGCCGTTCTACTGTTGTACCTAAGTGGATATCTTATTAATTTATGCAAGTATTCTGGCAGAAAATTATTTTTCTTTGATGTCTTTTGATATTTCACACAGGATGTTGTGGATTTAGAGGCAATTCTGCAGACATTATATTGCAGATATTAAATTACTCCTCATTACCCACTAAAAGTGTCTTCACTTAAAGGATTTGTTCTGTGTAAAAGCACAGTAGAATAAACATGAGTGAGAGTTATTGCACTGAAAGCAAAGAATCAATTATTGAAGTGACAACTTTGTAATGATAGACTATAGAACACTGTATCAATGAGACATGAAATTGCTCAAATAGTTATCTTAGGAGTTCTTGCTGCAGGATGCTGATTAATACCTTGTCATAGCTCTAAGCAGACAAGGTGTTTGCACATGTGGCCAGCAACAAGCTGTGTTGTGGTAGTTGAATGCTCCAGTTTGCCCTTGTAGTTGTCTGCTAAGCACCAGTTCAACCTAGCCGAGGGGATGGTAAGCTGGGCTACACTTGTGTGGAGCTTACTCTTGTATTACCTTGGGGGGAAGAGGAGTCGAATCCAGAGTATGGACTGATCCTTCTTGTGTTTTTTTCAGGAAAGTTACGTTAAGGAAGTCAGTAATGACAAGGAGAACATGATCCTGATCAACAAAGCAGATTTGCTGAGTGAGGAGCAGCGAGCTGCTTGGGCACAGTTCTTTGAGAAGGAGCGTGTGAAGGTGGTGTTCTGGTCAGCATTGGCAGAGTGTAAACGGCTGTCTGGAGAAGCAAAGGTACTGTGGATGAGCAGCTCAAACTAAGTGTATGCTGGCTGCTGCTGGTAACTTGCTTTGCAGCTGTGCTTGTGATAGACTTAAGCACCTTTCTAGGAGAGGCACTGTCCTCACTGTCCTTGTCTTGGGGAAAGATTATTGTAAAGACCTGTGCAGCTGTAAAACAGCATTTGAATGATCAATTCAGAGACAAAAGTGAGGAGAATAAAATGGTGAACAAAGTGCAGAACACAAAAACAGCCCTTGTAGACCTGTTTGCAGAATCTCAACTTGTTGAAAGAATTGGAAACCTTTCCAAGAGGGAGTGCTATGAGGATTATATGTGCGATGGGATTATCTCTACAAAGTTTTTTTCTCTCCCAGAGAGGAGAGGTGTTTCTTAGAGAACCTGTAGTACTTGAAAGCCCTTTTTTTTTTCCCAGTGGAGTAAACCAAGCTGCTGCCCCAAACTACCTGTTACCAGTAAGTGCTATTTTCATCTGGTACACCCATTCAGCTATGTAATATCTCATATCTCCTTCCAGAAAGACCTACTGTGTTCAGCTGGTTTACAGTCCTTGCATAAAATGTTTTTACAGACTAATTTAAAAGTAAGACTGAAAATGTTAGTTCTGTTCTCTTTTTTTGAAAAGAAAGGTCAAAATACTATTGTTATGAAAAGGTATTCATTTTTGAATGGAAACTCTTTGCAGGGAAGAAAAGTAGAGTTGGACTGAGAACAAGACAGCTTGAAATTATTTTAATTAAATATTTAGACCTGAAAAATGGCTTTGTGTTCTGAAAATTTTGAAAAAAATAACATTCATTCCTATTATTAGGAACACTTAATAATTTTTTAAATTATTGTGGTTATGCATGCATTCAGAGCTGTGCTTCTCGAGAGAAACCTCTTAACAAGTTCACAGAGAAGCCGTGAACAGTCCCTGTTGGAATACTTTTGTCATTTGCCTGAAATGAGCTAGTTGTGTCTACATCATACTTAAGACCCCTAAAAATAACTGTGTGATGTAAGCAGTGAATTGTCAGCCCTTGGGATGTGGCTGATGAAAATATGGTTGCTTGCACTGCAGCAACTGCAGTCAACAGCAAGGCTTAGTGCTGTCTTTGCATTTCACCCCTGAAATGCTGTTCACACAGGAACGGGACGCTGAAGGTGTAGCAGAGCACCTGAGTGATTCTGAGGATGAAAGCTCCAGTCAAGAAGAAGACAACACAGCACAAGGTAGCGCAGAAAGCACATCCACAGACAATGCTTTGCGAATTGTAAACCAAGTTCTGCTTAGTGATGATGACAGCAGTGATGAATATGAAGACTGTGAAGAAGATGAAGAGGAGGCCTGGCAAACCTGTTCTGAAGATGAAGATGGGGACAACATAAATGCTATTGTTCCAGAGAGGATGGAAAATAGGACTGATGGTGCTGCAGTGCAGCATGTAGTGCAGGAGCAGAACAGCAATGTCAGGAACTTCAACCATCTGGTACAGAGAAATGAGCTGCTGGAGATATTCAAAACCATGCACTATGGACCAAGGGTGAAGGATGGGGAAGTAAATGTTGGGCTGGTGAGTTGGACTTATTGCTTTAATGGAACTTGTTTAATCTAAATTTTAATTCCATATGCCCTCTATAGCTAAAGTTCATCCTGTAGCCTGGCTTCCTATAAGGCTTTAAAAACTAGCAAGGACAAACCACTGTAGCTCAGTGTTCTCCACTGCTTACCCTGGTTTTTTAGTACACTTTATTGGAGTACTCTTGTGTCAGAGCTCTGTCAGTCTTCTGGCATCACCCTACCTGATACCATTGATACCGTTCCACTTCTTTGTCATCCAGGTGGGTTACCCTAATGTTGGCAAAAGTTCAACTATCAACACAATCCTTGGAAACAAGAAGGTGTCAGTATCTGCTACACCAGGCCGTACAAAACACTTTCAGGTATTGCTAACAAACAGCATCGATCTTTTTTTGTTATTTCTTTTTCCCCAGTGGAAGGGAGCTTCATTTTGAGCTAGTTGCAACCACATGCACTCACTGAGAACTCTGCCATCCTAAACTCTGGCCAGCAGAGTATGTTAGAGAGGGGTGGTCTTGATGTATAGAATTTTGGAACTTTAGTTCTTGCTTCCAAACTCTTGCTACAGTGCGAGTAACTTATGAGAGCTGCTGATCAAGCTTTAATTTGGAGGTAGCAACTCCAGTGCTATAATGTGGGACCATTGTGGGATTTGCACTTGCTCAACCTGTTTTAAAACACAGTTAAAGGTTTCTGAGGTGCTTCCTTCTCTCCCATTAGACTGTAGAGCTGAAGGTCTTGCTGCCCCCATCTGGACACCTTATTTCCTTAATTCATCACCCGGGGCCAGCAGGGCAGATGTCTGTGTTAGTAGAATTTCTGCATCCATGTTTCATCTATGCATTTGACTCATTTTTTTTGTTCCTGTTTCCTCCCTGGACACTGACTTGATGACATGAACTAATTGGTTATTTTCATGTAGACGTGAACTAATTGATGATTTTCATGTAGACCCTGTACGTGGAGCCTGGCCTGTGCCTTTGTGATTGCCCTGGTCTGGTGATGCCATCTTTCGTCTCTACTAAGGCAGAAATGATTTGTTCTGGAATTCTGCCTATAGACCAGATGAGGGACCATGTCCCACCTGTTTCTCTAATATCCTTTGCATGGGGTTCGTGGGAGTGTCTGCAGGGGTTGGATCGGGAGGATGCCAAGTAGTGTGTTCCAGCCCTGCTGGCAGCCCAAGTGCTCATGCCTTGAGGGCGATGGGACATACTGGATAAAACAGCCCTCCTGTGTTGGTCTTTTCCCACCTCATTTCAACTTTGTTTTATTGTCAGGCTTGTTTAATTTTTCTGCTTTGCAACAAAATCCAGAAGTCATTCTTCATGTGTGCTCCTGGAGTGACAAAGGGGCAAGGTTACTTGTGTAGCTGAAAATCACCAGGTGGTTTCCTTCACTAGCTTATGTTTGCCAGCATATCCCACGAAACATTTTGGAAGCAACCTATGGAATAAGTATTATAAGGCCAAGGGAAGATGAGGATCCAGATCGAAAGCCAACAGCTGAAGAACTGCTAACAGCATACGGATGTGAGTGATGAACCTTATAAAACCTGTCACCTACACTGTGCATGGTCCTGAACATGTTTTAAAGTTAGGCCCACCTTGGGTTTGTTGTGCATTGAACCTCCATATTAGGACTTGCTCTCCTCTCAGCAGAGCCTTTGTTAATGGCTCATCTCTTGTGTGTGTTTGCCAGTCTCATCTGGTGTGGAGGACATTGGTGAGATACCCTACCAGTCTATAGTGTGGTACTCTTACCCTTTCAGATACCTCCCAATAACTGTGTCTTGAATTAGACTTTGAAGAATGCAGTGAATTCTGATTCTCTGGCCTTAAAAATAAAAACCCAGCAGATTTTCTGCTGCTAGGGAGATGTCAGCTCTCATCATTCCTTTCAGGTCAGGATGCTTCTGTGGTACCTCTCCAGTCAGCAATATTGTTGTTTTTTCCCTGCTTTCCCCAACAGAAGCCTCTTTCCAAGGGGGTTATTTTTTGGACAAAGGATACAAATGTGCAGTTAGGCAGCAGACAAGAACATATTAATGCTTTTGTACTTACACAGAATGTACTGTGTATTTGCCTTCCAGATATGAGAGGCTTTATGACAGCTCATGGACAGCCAGACCAGCCGAGATCAGCTCGATACGTATTGAAAGACTATGTCAGTGTAAGTGTTTCCTACATCTGGGTTTTCTTTCCTGCTAGGAAGTGAATTGAAGGTTTCACTAGAGCCAATAAAGTGAATTCTGTTTCTCTGGATAAAGTCACTGTATATCAAAATACTCGTTTAAGTTGGGCTGGTTTTATTTTTTAAAAGAATAAACTGAACTTCTCAAGCTGCTTAATATTAAAAAGGTGCTTGCTTAACAATATGGTGCTAGCTAAATAAATAATCATATCTCTAAAATAACCAGCAGATATTCAGGAAACATACCCATATTCTATAGCTGGACCAATATTTGGCACTAAGGACTGTAACTCTTGAGTGTTGTAATACTGCATTTTTCTGCAGCACCTCTCAGCAACTTATTTTTGAGAATTTCTTAATAGGATCCTCCAGTGCTCCTGAGAGTTTTGCACTGTATTGTTTGCAGCTGGAAATGGTGCTTTGATGTAGAGGTGGAACAGTACTTGAACTTAGAAGTTGAGCCAGTTGTTGCCTGGGAGGAGAAATAAAGTGTACTTACAGTTTGCCAGTGTTAGCCTCTGGACTTCAGGCCCTTCTTAGGTTTGGGGTTGTCTTCTTTCCTCTGTGGGTTTCTCTCTGAGTTTCTTTGGTCATAACTGTGTCCATTGCTTTCATAGGGGAAGCTGTTATATTGCCACCCACCTCCTGGTATTGACCCAAATGATTTTCAGCACCAGCATCAAAGATGCCTGGAGAGCAGAATTGTGCAGGCTACTGGACAGGTGAAGCCTGAGAAGAATAACAAAGCAAAGCAGATTGAAAATGTGGTGGACAAAACGTTTTTCCACCAGGTAAATTCTGGAGGAAATTTGTTCCACGAGTTTTTGCTGCAACACTTATTTGTAGTTATTGAGAAAAAAGCCACCTTTGAGGATGGAGGTGTGCTGTGTTGAGTTAATGGTGCTAGATGCTGTGGGATCTGCATATAATTTCTATCTAAGAACTCTGTTCTTTTTATTATCTCTTAAATCACTGGGAATGTCCCAGGTGACTGACAGATTGCTAATGAGCTATGCATAGCTGATTTTTAAGAGGTCAGCAGGGTGACCCTTGTCGTTATGGACCTAACATCAATCTTGAGCAAACGGGGGTGACTGTGAAGACAGATAAAGAGGTTGGAATGACACAGCAACTGACCTAGAACATGGTTTTGGACTTACATGTCCTTCAGACTAATGTTCCTTTTTGAACTGACATTTTTAGGGGATGTGATAAGCTTCTTTAAGACAATTGATTTAGTACTACTTGAAATCAGATGAAAAGAATGCAAACTGATTTAAAATCCAATTGAGAAATCTCAAAAATAAGTAGAAAATGGGAATTTTTCTTAAGATGTATGATTCTTGAGAGGTCCCATAGAGATCTGTTTTCCCCCTACACTAATGAAAAAATGTAATAGTGACTTGTTGTGAAATCCAGAAGCAATTAGGTCTGCATACCTAGCAAAGATCAGAACAGGTGTTTAGCAGTGAAGAGGGTGTGTCATAGACATCATATTCCATTCTCTTTGGTTAGCTGGATATGAACACTACTTCTTTAGCACACCTAAAGATAGTCATGCATTTTGAAAACAAGAACTCAGGCTCTTTTCAAAATAATGTAGAAAACTGTGACCTGAAAAGAATTTTTGGGATTATCAGACTCTTCCTCTGTCTGCCCAAAGTGCTGGCACGAGCTGTGAGCCCCATGAGTCCTACCCACGCTCCAGACTTGAGCAAATTATTTTAGTCTGTGGCTTTCACAGATGCCAGATTTATTTTGCAAAGACAATTTGTTGTGTGCAAAACAGAGGCTGTGAGAATCCATCCCAGTGCTGTAGCTGATGTCTGTCACAGTGCCTCTGTCAGTGCCTCTGCTGGCAGTGGTGGGTGCTGGGGACCTGGTGCAGCTGCAGGCGGAACTGGAGCCTGCTGGCAGGCTTTGAATAGGATGTGTGGTGTGACCTTCCTGTAGCTCTGGAGCTGGGGCTGAGCAGGTCCTGATGGGTTTAAGCTCGCCTGTGTCTGGTTTTACTGACATATTGCAGTTCCTGTGGTTAAATGTCTTCTCATCGGTCACTGGTGATTGTGTTTCCTCTTGCAGGAGAACGTCCGTGCCCTCATGAAAGGGGTCCGGGCTGCAATGGGATACCGGCCTGGCAGCGGCCTCGTGCCTGTGACTGCATCCAGTTCTGGGAATGTGGTAGGAAAGCCCTGGAAAAAACATGGAAACAGGAACAAGAAGGAGAAAATTCGCAGGATCACCAAGCACCTGGAGGCTTAGCTGTGGCACTAGTACCGGGCTTTTCTAGGGCAGGGACTGCACTGTTCCACAGGCCTTAATTGAGGGGTAAAAAAAAAAAAAAGGGTAAGTGGGCATCAGTTGCTCACCTGGTAGCTCTGTGCTGTGGATTGGCCTGGGCAGGGGTAAGGATGGGCTCTGGTAGTTGGAGCTCATCCCTTCTGGGAACAAAAGAGACCTGACTGTGTTATCTGGAAGCCAGCCCAGATGTTTGACTGCTGCTGAAACATCCTTTCAATGGGAGCAGATGGAGCCATGCGGGAGTGTTTTTTCCTTCCATAAAGGATATATTTTACGGCTGTCGCAATCAGAGCAAGCCCTGACTAAAGTCTTTATAAAGAGTTGAACTTCAATGAGTGATGTTTGTTACATTATGAGACACTATTGCTTATCTTCTTTTTTTTTATCCTATCTTTAAAGCTGGTTTATTGATTTGACAGAACACTTTAGTGTGTTGAAAAATGAAGTAAAATGATCTTTATTGCCCTCTTCCTTCTCTGCTGTGCCAGACCTGTTCTGTAGAATCTGGTACTAAAACCACTCCTTATTTCCCAGCTTGAGCAGAGCATGGCACAACTGTGCAAGGAAAATGCTGCTTTTATGTCCTTCATGCTGAGCTGGTATCAGTTGTTTTTCTGTGTGACTTCCCACTGGTATTTTAAAACATTAGCTCCGTTTGACTGGCTAAAATCTGGTGCTAATTTGTCCCTAAATATATTTGAGATTTTTCTTCCTATATGGTATCATGTTCTGTCTCATTGACCTAGTCACAGAAGTGTCTATTAGCAAATTTTAATGGAGTACATGACTATATCTGATGCTAAAAAGACTTTACTTACTTGGGGTCAGACTTAAGTGAGATATACTTCTTAGCTGCCCTGCTGAGAAAATGTTTGTGCACTTGCTCTTCATTTCTAGTGCAGCACAGGGAGTAATGATAGGACTGGAAAGGCTCACAAAGATGAGGCATGCTTTGTTTTTAGGTGGTGGTGTAACAGATGATTGTGGTTTCTGATACTAAAAAAGAGATTGCTGTCTTGTAATTTGTACTTTCTAAGCCTTAAGTGTGGATGGAGAGATGAAAGCAACTGCTGAGCAAAGCCACAGCAGATCTGTGGTGTGCAACCAATCTGGTTTTGGATTTGTGACCCTTTGTGTGTGTGTCCTTTAAGCCAGTTTGCGCTGTGTGTGCGGAGGGTCCCCTGACAGCAGAGCTCTTGGCTTCTACTTCCCTTGGAGTTGAATTCTTAATTACATCACTGCAAGGAAGATAGTTCCCTACCTGCAAAATTAAAGCATAATTACACTGAATGAATGTGGTCAAGGGTATTTAAATCAATGTACTGTAGTGGAAGATTAATTCTTAGGAGAGACTATTTAATCTCTTTCTCCCAGCAAAGGTGATTTTTGCCTTTGCTGAAGAGGTTATGCCTTAGCCAAATCACTCTGATCCAACTTCTCCACCCTCCTTGCAGAAAGATATCTCCTTTGGTCCTTTAGGGACCTGATTGCTCAGAAACACCCATTTCTTTTTGTCCTGTCCTGTGTCCTGAAACTACTGCCTGTCAAATTACCTGCCAAACTTAAGTTGGAGTATCCTTTATTGAAGTTTTGAAATACTATTTTTTCCCATTTTTTTTCTATTTTGTCTTTCTCTTTTCAAAGCATTTTGAATTCTTAACTCATGTTGCACATACCTGAGTTTTCTTTTGCATTCTCTGCCCTCTCCTGTCAGCTGGATCTCCATGAGCCTTTTTGCTGGACAGGCTGTATCCTGATGTAGACCCTTCCCACTGCAGTGAGTGACAGAAATCCCCAGGGCCTGAGACAACTGCTTATTGCTTCTAGGAACCTTTGGCCATGAGACCTGCCAAGTGACTTGCAGTGTTTGCATGAGTGAATGGAGGATAATGTAAATACAACCAAGCAAATACTGTTTGCTGAGGTTTGTTAAATGCAAACTGCTCCAGGCTGTGCTCTTGCCTTGATAGAAAAGGACCTAAAGACTGTTAATATTTCATGCTGTTACTGAGCAGTGGGCAAACTATACAGTAGACAAGGACCATGGTTAAATTAATGCTTTCCTGTTGTGGTTTGGTGTGTTGCTGATGCTGAACTGCATCCCTTGCTGGGCAATGCCAGCCAGGCCTGGCTGACAGCTCAGGGCAAAAACATGCTTTGCAGTGTTTGTTTTGAGGAAAAGCAGTATTTTTTTTCTCCATCGAAGCATCATAGGTGAGCAAGTGAGAGGAGGGGGATGCCAGGATGCAAGTCACTGAGCCACTCTGCTGTTGGGTGCTGCTAACTGCCATTGATGGCAGGCGATACAGGAGCCTCAATCCTCTCAGCTTGGCAGAGTCAGCACTACACAAGTCCTCTGCCCATCACCCCACTGCAGCCCACACTGTGGGGCTGTCAGGGTCAGGTGACTGATCTTTTCCCAACGTCTCAACTCAAGGATGATGGCTTTTGCACAGGGGAGTCCGCAGCAAGGGACTGCCAGGTGAACATCTCGCCGGCTTTCTGCAGTTGCTGCCTGGACCAAAAATACTTCATTATGTCTCTGGGGGAGGCTGAACTCCTTCTCTTCTGCCGTTAGGGGCCAGCCTTTCCCAGACAGAGGAGCAGTCCTGGCACCCCCAGCAGCAGGGCTGGGTCCTGTTCCAGTTCAGGATCCCAGCAGAGATGCAGGTCCCCAGGGACTCCACCCTATGCTCACCCATATGGAGTAGCACACGAGCTGCTGTTTTCAGTCAACCTGGCAAAGAAGTGGCCAAAAAGCCCACAGTGGGGGAGCATGGCTCTGGTCCTGGCAAGGCAGGAGCTGGGTCCAGAGCCTTTCAGGCTGTTTCTATGAAACTTAAGCAACTCTTTCCTGATTGTCCTGAGGCACTGTTGCTTTAAAGTAAGAAGCAGCTTTTTCTTCTTGGGTCACAGATCTTTCCCTCCTGTGAGGAGCTTCAAGCCAGACCCCAGCAGGTTCCTACAAGTCTGTGAGGAGCAGCATTGTGCTGTCCACCTTCCCTGTGTGGTGGCTCTAGTCCAGCTTTTTTACTGAGTTTTTTATTTTTTGCTGCAAAAGGAAAAAAGTATTGGGGAAAAATGTCACGGAGATGCTGAAAGAGAGGCAGGGAGCAGCTTTCTGGTGTACCTCAGAATATAATCTCTCAGGGTTAAATGCTTGAGTACCCAAGACATCTTGGGACATGAAGAGAGGTCATGGTGAGGACAAGAGGAAAAGAAACCGCAGTTGAGTCAGAGGAACCCTGCCCCAGTGTTCTTTCGTGCCGGGGCTGTGGGAAAAGGGTCTATCCCGTTGGTGGTGTCAGGGCATGAGGACTGCTTGTGCTGGGTGGAGCAGGCTTTAGTTTGCCCTCCTGGAAATGTCCTCAGCCCCTTGTCACTTGGGAGTTACAGCATTTGAGGCAAAGAAGCAAAAACATTGTCATGTCCATGAGGGGAAGGTCCTGCAGTCCAGCCAGGCTTTTGCTGCCTGCACAGAGCAAAAGGAAGCTGAAAGCCTCTGCAGAGCCTCTTTATGTTGATCAGTGCTGATGAACCAGTGTAAGCTCCTCTGGGACTTCACAGGGTCCTCAGCAAAAGTTGTCTCTGTTTGGCGGCTCTTGGAACCAGCTGCATTCATGCAGTGCAGAGGGATGCTGGAACCATTGCTGTGTGGGTCCCAGGGTAAAGGGATTCTCCTCTTGACACGCTCAGTATCTTTCTTGGACATATGCTCCTGACCCCTCTCCTCACATGAGACAGGGAGGGAAGTGTGTGAGAGAAGTGGAAACCATTTCTATTCTGCTTTGAGCTTTGCTTGTGTTGTGATGCAGACAGAGAGAACCAAATACTTTCTAGTTTCAAATACAGTCAGTTCTCCTTTCTGGGGAAGAAGGCAATGCAGGTCCTGTGCTGCCCAGGGAGCTGTGCTGCCCAGGGCTCCCTCTCACCTGCCTGTGGCACTGCGTGCTCCTTTCTCTTCACAGTGGGACTTTGAAGATGTGATGGTGCAGTGGAGTTGGCCCAGCCCTGCTGCTCAGCCTTGCTCCGGGCCATGCCCAGGCACCTTTGGACAACATGCAGCCCTTCCAGGATGTGCTGAGCACCCCAGCAAAACAAGCAGAAAGCAGCAGAAGGTGCTTCCTTGGGGCTCTCCTGGGGGAAGTGAGAAGCTCTGGGGTGTTGCTACAGGCTGCCATGTTGTGCTGCTGAGGATGGGTCCTGGGGTGGCCAGACCCTGTCTCGTTTGCCTGCAGCAGCAAAAGGAGCCTTTGCAGAGCTCCTGCTGATAAGAAGGGCCTGCACTTATGTTTCCAAAGGCCTGAGCAAGTTGGTGAGTAGTGGCAAGGCTCAGAAATCCAGACACCAGACAATGGAAAGGCTGGAAACAAAGGAAAGGAAATTCTTCTGCTGTATTGCCTTTCCTATGGCGATAAGATAACCTAAAGTGAAACAAAAGTCTCTGCTGCAGATGGTGGGGTGGGCACCTCGGCTGCTTTCTAAAGTGCAGGAGGATGTCTGCATCAGCTGGGACCTCCCGAGCCGGGTGGGGGTGTGTGGCTGTCCTGGGGGTGTGCAGCGGGCAGAGGCGTTCTCGGTGCTTTGCAATGAGTCTTGGAGCAACAGGTAACCTGGCCTGCTCCTGCTCCATTCCATGGGACCATCTGTGTCCTTCATTTACACACTTGCAAGAGAAATCGTGGAATAGTTTGGGTTGGAGGGGACTGTAAAGACCCCTTGCAATGAGCAGGGGCATCTTCAATGAGATCAGATTGCTCAGAGCTCTATCCAACCCAACCTTGATGTTTCTAGGGATGAGGCAACTACTGCCTGTCTGGACAACCTGTTCCAGTGTTCCAGTCCCCACCCTCATTGTAAAACATTTCTTCCTTATATCTAATCTAAATTGACCCTCCTTCAATTTAAATCCATTATTCCTTGTCATATCACAATGGGCCTTGCTAAAACTTTGTCCTCATCTTTCTTGTAGGTGCCATTCCAGTACTGAAAGGCATGTCTAAGGCCTTGCCCGAGCCTTCTCCAGGCTGAACAGCCACAACTTTCTCAGGCTTTTCTCATAGGAGAGGTGCTCCAGCCCTGTGATCTTTATGGCCTCCTCTTGGACCTGCCCCAACAGGTCCATATCTTTCCTATGCTGGGGACCCTGGAGCTGGATGCTGCACTGCAGGTGGGGTCTCAAAAGAGCAGTGCAGAGGGGCAGAATCCCCTCCCTCAATTTGCTACCCATGATGCTTTTGATGGAGGCCAGGACACGCTTGGCTTTCCATGTCACCAGTGCACACAGCCGGGTAATGTCCAGCTTCTCATCCACCAGCACCTCCAAGTCCTTGGCAGAGCTGCTCTCAATCTGCTCTGTATTGAAATCAGGAGTTGCCTCAACCTAGGGGCAGGACCTTGCATTCGCTTTTGTTGAACCCCATGAAGTTCCCATGGGCCCACATCTCATGCTTGTACAGGTCCCTCTGGATGGCATCCCATCCTTCAAGAGTGTCAGTTGCATCACAAAGCTCTTGGTGTCCTGCTTTAAATCTTACTCTAAATGTTCTGGAAGAGCTGAGAAAAATGAGGCCACAGCATTTGCTAGTAATATATTACTCTTGGGTGTATGAACATCCCAAAGCTGGTCTCGGATGTTGAAAGCACTGATGAGCAGCTGAGGAACAGTGACATGTTACATGTGTTATACATTGTATTTCAGAGTGGTGGGGGACAGGGACAGAGTGGTGGTCATGTGGGCAGGGCTGGGAGCAGGATTAGCTATTGCCGAAGAGGAGGCTGGTTATGGGAGTGCAGTGGTATGTGGGAGCTGCTAGGGCAAGGGTTGCAAGGGAACCTGTGCCATGTGTACAGTGCTCCTCCCTCCCCAAAGCACCCAGAGCCAAACAGGCCCCGAGAAGAGGTGTGAGGGACATGGATGGCATCTCAGTAAAGATGGAGATGAGCCTCTGAAGAGGTCTCCTGTCCCAAAGAGGGGATGCGATGGGGTGGATGCCATTTGGACAGCAGAGGAAAGGAAAGGACAATTGCCTCTGCTATGTCTCAGAGTGCAGGGACAGGGAGGTCTGAAATGAAGCTGGTCAGAGACAAATTCAGATTACAGTCTGCGGGCTCAGAGTGGGCCCACATTAACTGTGGAAATCATTGTGGGCTATTTTGGGCAGCGGGAGTGGGATGAATGATGAGAGGAGTTTAGGGAGGCAGGCCAGGGCTGTCTCTGGCTCAGGAAGCCCCCGAGCTGTGACACTGGGAGTGGCAGGGTGGGCTGCAGGAGGTGAGCCTGTGCTGACCTGCTCTGCTCTGGCCCCAGAGGGGAGCCTATGGCGTGTCCCAAGGGCTGCTTTGAAGTCCCATCATTGAAAATTGAACTTCAGAAAGCAGTGGGATAGGTGCTGTGCCCAGCGGGCAGTACCTGGCCCCTTCTTATGGTGGTCCTGGGGTGGGAGCTGCGAAGGGGAGCCCTGATGTTTGTTCAGGCTTTGGGAAGGGGCGTGTCAGGGACCCAGCAAAGGGAGGAGCTGCACGAGAGGATGCACAGGCCCATCGCACACTACTGTGGTTTGCAGCTCTTCAGCAGCTGCACTTGCTCCCTGCCCTGGGGTGCGGTGAAGGGAGATCAGTGGCCTCAGCCCTTTCAGATCTTGTTTTCAATCCCCCTGGGGTGTTGCAGTATGCTTTTGGTATAGAATAGTATGCTGAAGTTTTAATGTTGTTAAAGTGAACATGCTTCCAAAATGGTGTTATAACTCTTTGTGTAAACCTTTCTTCTTCCCAAGATCCCTCACTATACTTTGGAATGTCCTGAGAGATAACTGAAAGCTTACCTATTGGTTGTTTGTAAGGCCTCCTGAACTCCCAGTGGTCACTTTGTAATTCCTCTAAGAGCTATTTAAACAGTGACCAGAACAATAAAGCTCTCTCTACCTCCTCTCCCTGCTTGCTGCTGGCGTCCTGGTCTGTCTGGGGGCCATGAGTCGCCGTGAGGTGGGGGGGCCAGGGGGAGGGCATGCTACCCCCCGGAGCAAGGGGTAAAAGGAAAAGCCCTTTGCCTGGGGTTCCCTCTCCCCATCCACCTTCAACCTTCACTGGGGTTTTCCCGTTTGGTTTCACACTGATAGCCTAGCTCTGGAAAGCAGAGGGCTGAGCTGCAGGCATAAGGAGACAAGCAGGAATCCGCAGCAGCTTTGGTGGGATGGTTGTGACACCTGCAGTACCTGGCAATCGGTCCCTTCAACCTGCCTTGGGAAGCTGATCTCAGCAGCAGAGCAAAAAAGGGCACAGAGCACAGTGACATCGGGCAGGTGTTGTACATCTATGCAATGTGGTTTGCTGTAACTTTTTTGCCAGTTCCCAGTAGCCCTCAGTGGCTGCTTCTGCTGGGGTATTTGGTGAGCTACCAGATACTACTGGCACCAGCATCTCTGACAGAGATCACCCCACCAGCAGCCCCAGCTGTGCTCAGGGGGATGAGGAGCACACTGGAGCATCCTAGCACTGCTGCCAGGCCAGACCTGCTGCAGTCATGCATTGCAAAAGCAGTGAGGTTGGCTGCAGGTACCTGGCATGGCCCCAGTGCTGTTTACCCTCCCTGGCAGGTGATCCAAGTGGGCCAGGCAAGTGTTTGCTGTGGGACATCATTGCAGGTTCATGCTGGCTCTCCTAATGTCCCACAGGTGTCTTGTGGGTCTTCTCCTGCCCTGTGGCTTGCAGCAGAGGGGAGCCAAGCACCTGCTGCTCCCTGCTCTGTCAGGGAATGTGGTTTGTGGGATATATGGACCCACTCAAGAGGTTTTGTGGTCCTCATGACTGCTGGGGAGGTTCCCCAGGTGGCCTTGCAGCAACAAGGAGTGGAGAGATCGTGAGAGTGCCCTGCTCCCCTCACTGCACAGATGCTCTGAAGGCAGAGATGGGCTTGTGGGCTGCTCTTAGGCTTCCTGGTGAGATGACATAAGCTCTTCAGGTGATGATACTCTTTGCCCTGGGGGACTGGGAACAAGGTGTCTCCTGTTGCAATTGGTATTTCAGGGACTGAGCTGTCCCTGGGTCAGGCTGAGCGTCCAAGGGGCAGTGTGGCCTCTGCCTGTGCTGGATCCCTTGAGTGGTGACAGCACGAAGCTGAGTACCTTTGAAGTGGCCTGCAGTGCTCTCTGCACTACTGTTGGACAGGATCTGAACAGCCATTGTGCAAAGCAAAATAAACCCTTCCTATCTGTGCTAGGCTCAGAGGGTGGCTCTGTTTCCAGCTGCAAGACTGAAGAGCCAGCACAGCCCTGCCAGAGCCTGTTGATAACTATCTCCCCTTGTGAAAGTCCGTGCTCCAGGCAGGCAATGTCACCTTATCAGCACTGGAATGTTCCCGGTAAAGGGATCAATCTAACTTCAGCTGCATCCCCATCCCCACCAGCAAATACAATGTACAGAGCAGAGCCAAAGTGAGCGTGGCAGGTCTTTCGCCCTTAGGAGGGTTAGGGCTGCCTGGACTCCTCAGGGAACAGCCCCAGGGCCGGGAACAATAGTGGCCACAGCGCTGGCGACCACAGGGTGGGTGATTACTGAAAAATCATGTGCTTACTCCGACTGCAGCAGAGGCAATTTGTCAAAGTCCCATTTTCTTTTCCCTGATAAGATAGGGCTCGAGGAGCACAATAATGCTTTTCTGAGATACAGTAGTGGATATCTACCCAGCACACACTCAGGGAAGCTAATTTTGGCCATGCTGGGCTGGCAGTGGGTGAGAGCAGCCCTCCATATGTAGGGGCCACAGTCCAAGGGACAGAACAACTGAGCCCTGAGGACCAGAACAATCCTGGGGGGGCAGCAGGGTCACTACTGAGTGCCACATTCCTTGCCCACTGTGGCACTCCTGGAAGGTGCCACTGTTGTCGCTGGCTTCATGGTATGGAGCTGATATGATGTGGCACAGTGCTGCTGCCCTGCCAACACCTGGTAAACTCTGTTTGAGGCTGGAGCAGCCAGGATCAGCAGGCACCCAGAGCATGTAGCTGCACCCTCTCACCCTCCTCCCTCGTGTGCTTGGAACATTATCCGATCCCAAAGGTGACACCATGATGTGAGGCCAGTGTTCATGCCCTGGCCAGGGAAAGCTGCCCATTCTCAGCTGCCTGCACCAGGGCTTGCTAGCTGAGCATGGGTATAAAAGTGATCTTGGCTGCCTGCTGCAAGCCAGTTCCTCTGCAGGCAGCTCCAGTGCCATCAGTCTCAAGAGGAAAGTAGTAAACAGCACCATTAACAAAGCTAGACCTTATGAAATCCGCAGCCTCCCTGGGAACCAGACCCTTTTTTATAACATATACAATATTTGTAGGTGCTGGATCTGGCCTTCCTCAGGAGAGTAATGAGCAGAACAACCCTCTGGCAGAGCTGACTTTTCCATTTTGGCATATTGCTTGGGATGCACTTTCTGCACAGTTTGAAATCTGAGCATAATATTATCTTCATGAACCACATTAACCAGTCTGATAAAGTGACCCAACAAAAGGTCAATGGAAAAGTTAATGTAATTTATTGGCTGATATAAAAAAAACCCCTAATCATCTCTTTTTCCTTTTTCCTGACCCCCCACCCGCACCCAGTGCCCTGCTGGCATTTTCCAGCCATTCCCAAAACAATGGCCAGGGTGGGAATGCTCTGACTGGGTGCAGGTTTAAAGGAGGCTTTTCCTGAGGGGCTGCAGCCACATCTGCCTCCTCAGCTGTCCCTCCCCAAGAGGTGTGCAGGGGATGATGTGCTCAGCCAAGGTCACCAGCCTGGCCAGGGAGAGGACTGGCACCAGGCCAGGTTTGGGCAGACCTAATTTCAGTATGTTTGCTGGATATCCTCTGCTCTGTGGGGTGTCTGGAGCTCATCTGCTTTGGGCTTGCAGGGGACACCTCTGTTCTTGGTCATTTCTGCTGTTTTTGTAGCTGTGGACAGGAGGGAAGGACAATTTAGCCAGGTTCCAGGCACTGTTGCTGGAGTGTCTTGGATGAAGGCCTCAAGGGCCCCAAGAACTCTCTCCATGGACACCACCCGTGCTATGTTACCTCCAGGGGAGGCTGCAGGAATCCCCAGTAAAGGGCACAGGTGCATGGGCACATTCCTTTGCCCAGGCGTGCAAGCAGAGGGGACATGCTGTCGCATAAGCACCCCTGCTCCCTGCACAGTCCTCCCTTCGGGTTTCCCAGGCACCAGGAACATGCTGCCGCCTGCTCAGCCCGGGGCAGGCACTGAAGAGCTGGTGCTCCCCACAGCTACTCAGCATCCGCTTGTCTCCTCTCGCCCAGGAGCTCGAGGTGTGTGCAGAGCTCCAAGAGCTGTCTAGAGCAATTAAGCAGCCAGGCGTTTGTCAGGGCATGACCTGTCCTGGGGAGGCAGGTGAGCTTGCTTGCTAGGGTGGAGCTGCAAAAGTAATTAGTCTTTACTTATGTTAATACCTTACAGGTACAGAAGAAAGGACCCCAGAGGGCAATGGGTGGTGGAAAGGATCCAGCAGCTTCTCTTTCAACATTAGCTGCTACTTCGAAGTAGTGGCTTTGGAGTTGCCACACTCCAGAGCCGTGGAAAAGACAGCATGGGGAAAACATCTGGCAAGGGCTGGGAAAGGAGAAAGCCCAGAACTGCCCATTTCTGTCAGGCTGTAGCACTGTGACATCTGCCACAGTGCTACCATGGCTGGGCATGGAAACTCTGGCTCGAGTAGCAAGTAACTGTCCTCCCTGGCTTCTTTGCAGCACTGTCTCCAGGCCTGGTTCTTGCCAAGGAAAGGCTGGAGAGATGGAGAAAGCCTTAGCAGTGTGACCTGGAAAGCAGGGGGCAAAGAAAACACAGGTAACTTCTAACAATCTTGCCTTGTGTTTTGTAAAGCTGGTTTGTGCACGCTTGTGCATGGGGCTAGCTGTGTCCTTCCTGGGAGCTCCCTGGTCATGCAGCTCTGCCTGCTGCTCAGCCTGCCTGGCACTCTGGGGTGCTTCTGCCTGACAGCAAACGCAGCCCCTCTAAAGTGAGGGAACTGGGTTTCCACACTGTGAATGCTCCCCTGCCTCACTTGGGAAACTCAGTAAGGGAGGAGACATGGAAACAGAAACCCCAGGCTGGAGCTCTGTGGCAGATAACCCTGAGTTTCTCCAAGTCTTTCACAAGCAGGAACCTTGGGATGTTGTGCCCAGCATGTGGGTACGCCTAGTCAAGACATCCCAGATACCAGACTGTGCTGTTTGTGTTCCCAAGATTTTCTGCCTGCCCTAGAAACTGCTTTTCAGTGTCTTGCTGGGGAGCTGATCTTCTCTGGCACAAGATGTTTCTTGCCCAGCAGCTCATTAGGCTCCTGCTCTGTTCCAGCTGGTGCTGGGCCATGCAGGCAGGGCACGCCAGTCCCAGTGGCAGCAATGCTGCCAGTCTGCAGGGCGAACGGGGAGCCACCGTGGCATTGCAGAAGCAAAACTTCTCAGACCATAATGGACTTTGCCCATTTTGTTGAAATAACAGAGATGAAAAAGTTATTGAGGATGACTGATCGTGGGCCAAATAACCAGACAGTGTAACCTGCCTCATTCTCCAAGGCGCCATTTCAGGGGGAAGAGCTGCACACAGGCTTCGGCCGCTGTCCTGTCTGAAAGCAAGGCACAGCCCAGCCTTGCTCTGGAGAGCATGAAGCAGAAGAAAGGCTTCCCAGTGCTCTGTTTTGTTGTAACAGCACTGACCACTGGTCTGCTAGTGCTTTCCCAGGAGGTGCTGTGAGAATAAGGTTGTCTAAGTCACTTCACCGATAACTCTTGGTCTTGATCTGCCCTGGACCACACTGCTATAACTGTGTCCAGTCTCCAGGCACAACAAGGTTTAGGAGTTGTTTCTTAACATGGCAGGACAGGGGCATCTTGGTTTGGGATCTGTGATGAAGACCTGGAGAAGCTGTGGATATCAAATGTCTCCCG